TAGAAGGATTGCCTGAGCCCAATAGGTCAGGCTTTTGGTGGCTGTGAGCGTGCCACTGCACTCCAGCCTGGGTGACAGAGACACCTACCCCAAAAAAAAAAAAAAAAAGAAAGAGACTCCAACTCAAAAAAAAAAAAGACCATTTTGGCCAGGTTCAGTGGCTCAGCCTATAATCCCAGCACTTTGGGAGGCTGAGGCGAGTGGATTGCCCGAGCCCACGGGTTCGAGACCCACCTGGGCAACTTGGCAAAACCTTGTCTCTACAATAAATCAAAAATTAGCCAGGCGTGGTAGCACGCACCTGTAGTTCCAGCTACTTTGAAGGCTGAGTTGGAAGGATCGCCGGAGCCCAGCAGGTTGAGGCTGCAGTGGCCGGGAGCATGCCACTGCACTCCAGTCTGGGCGACCGAGTGAGACTCCAACTCAAAAAAAAAGACAATTTCACTAGTGCTTAATGACAGAAGTTTGCAGCAACCAGCTTTAGATTTTTTTTTAATTTTCACTCGCTCTCAGTATTAGGAAAGTGAAAAATTTGCCAGTCACAAATGTTTGTTAATAGTGTCACAATTCCAAAGTGATCAGCCTTGATATTTCAGAATCATCTTTATTCTCTCTCCCTTATCTATCATTTCATCCTTCAAAATGTTTCCTTCCTTTCTCTTCCCACATCTTTATAGTAACAGCATTCTAAGTCTGTTTCCAACCTCCCCTTTCTAATCCATTCTATATACTGCCAACCTACTTTTCTGAAAACGCTGCTTTATCTTTCTGGATCTTCGCTGTTCAGTATCTGTCAAGGTACTGGCAGCTCAACAAACTCCTTTCCCTAAGAAGTGAGCTATTCCAAATCCAGAGAGATCTTCCTGCTTTTGAGCAACTTGACCTTGCTGTCTCACCACAGCAGAATGGTCCAGAGCTGGGCACTTCATCAAGCCAAACCAGAGGGGTTTTTCCCAAAGGAACATAAGATTAGGACTGAGATTTACTCTTGAGACAGGAGACAGAAAATATCAGAAGATGAGATACGATCATCTTTCACCACAGGAGGCAACATATAACATGGTGGTTGAGAGCTTGATCATAGCCCAGACTCCAACGAGATATCTATTTGTCTTAAAACTATGGTGTCCTTGGCAGTTGAGGGAAACTGCTAGGGGAGGTAGGGGCACACCTCATCAACAAGGGTACCTGCATAATCAACATTTGTATGCCTACCCTGAATTGCACCCCACATCTTTATAATAAAAAAAAACTATGATGTCCTTATGCTTGAAATGAGCATAACACAATATCTACCTCTCAAATTTGATAGGATAATTAAATGAGATAATCAGCATTCAGCACAGTGTCTGGCAATACAGTAAACACTCAAACAGTTAGCTATGATTGTTGGAGTCAGTAGTAGAGAAAATCTGCAGAAAGAAAAGAATGAAGAAGGCACAAAGACAAAATCAGAAATAAGATTAAGACTAATCAAATTTCCTTTCTAGATCATGGACACATTTCCACATTAGGGTTCTTGGCTCCTGTATCCTCAGAATAAAATGCCATTTCTTTGCTTATATAAGCTTTTTGTTTCTTACAAAGGACCCTACCTTTTATACTGGTACACTATTAAGTATTTTGAAAAGGTTGTGCCTCTGCCTCTTCTTTAAAATCTTTAATGGCCCCCACATTCAACAAAGTCAAGCTGAAATACAAGTATCAGCCGGGCATGGTGGCTCAAGCCTATAATCCCAGAACTTTGGGAGGCCAAGGCGAGAGGATTGCCTAAGCCTGTGGGTTCGAGACCTGCCTGGGCAACATGGTGAGATCTCGTATCTAAAAAAAGAAAAATAGAAAGAAATACAAGTGTCCCCCACACATTGTTTTTGTTTGTTTGTTTTTTTGAGTTAGAGTCTCACTCTGTCTCCCAGACTGGAGTGCGTGGCCGCTCCCGGCCACCGCAGCCTCGACCTGTTGGGCTCCGGCGATACTTTCGCCTCAGCCTTCCAAGTAGCCAGAATTACAGGCGCGCGCTACCATGCCCGGCTAATTTTTTTTAAATTTATTGTAGAGATGAGGTCTCGCCTACACAGGCAGGTCTCGAACCCGCAGGCTCAGGCAATCCACTCACCTCAGCCTCCCAAAGGCGTGGGATTACAGGCTGAGCCACCGAGCCCGGCTCCCCAACACATCTTTTAAGTCAATTACCTTACCACCTTGACCATGTCCTTAAAATAAAGCAATTAAAATGGGCAACAAGCAGCATCTGAGGTAAATGATGCCAGCATTCTACCCCTCCCCATCCATCTCTTTATGGTCTCTCTTAATACCTACCTTCCCATTTTCTTATCTTTTTGGCCTTCAATTAACTGTGATACCCTCTGGGACAGCATCTCATTGTCAGTGTTTACTAATAAATTAAAACCTTTGCTGGGCAAGGTGGCTCACGCCTATAATCCCAGCACTTTGGGAGGCCGAAGTGAGAGAACTGCCGGAGGCCACGGGTTCAAGACCAGCCTGGGCAACTTAGCGAGCCCTCACCTCTACAATAAATCAAAACATTAGCCAGGCGTGGTGGTGCGTGCCTGTAGTTCCAGCTACTTGGAAGACTGAGGCAGAAAGATCGCCTGAGCCCAGCAGGTTGAGGCTGCGGTGGCCGTGAGTGTGCCACTGCGCTCAAGCCTGGGCAACAGAGTGAGACTCCAACTCAAAAACAAACAAGCAAACAAGTCCTAGGTTCCTTTTGTTTAATGAGCTACCCACTCCAAACCATAACATGCCACAAGGAGAAATAAGTCAAAGAGTAGATCTATACCTACTTCATCAAGTTCTAAACTTTTTATGATTGATTTCATCCTCCATTTGCTAAGTCCCATTATTCTAATGCTAGAGCAATAGCTGTAATTCTGTTACATTCTCGCACACAAAGTATAACAACTGAACTATAAAAATATTGCTTTGAGATTCCCCACACTATATAGGCTTTTTGTTCATTATGGCTACTGCTCAAAAAATGCCAAGGCAAAAATAAAAGCTTCTACTTTTGCTATACACCTAGGTAGCTATCAAATTGCTTACTCAACACCCAAAAAAAGTAACTATCACATTACAAATGGTAATACTTTTGTATAACTGATGCAGATTAAATCTGTTTCTCCCTGATATTTCCATAAGTTCAACTGAAAAAAAACAATTTTGGCAACGAAGAATAAACATACCTTCCTCATTCTAATATGAGGTTTACAAAAACTCAAAAAAGACGATGGCCAGCCAAGTTTTCAAAAATAAAAGCAGGGCTCAGTGGCTCAGCCTGTAATCCCAGTACTTTGGGAGGCCGAGGTGAGTGGATTGCCTGAGCCCACGGGTTCGAGACCCGCCTGGGCAACTTGGCGAGACTTCATCTCTACAATAAATCAAAAAATTAGCTGGGCGTGGTTCCAGCTACTTGGAAGGCTGAGGCAGATGGATCACTGGAGCCCAGCAGGTCGAGGTTGCAGTGACTGGGAGCGATCACTGCACTCCAGTCTCGGTGGGCGACAGAGTGAGACTCCAACTCAAAAAAAAAAAAAAAAAAAGTGTTGTTTTGCCAAAGGGACTAAATGTCTGAAAAAGTGTTCAGAGTTAAACTATACACACACTGCTATAGTAAAAAGAATATGATAGACACTAAAATTCTTGGATTTTTTTTCCATTAAACAAAACCTAACAGAATTATCAATATAACTTCCTTATGTTACTACTGCCACTGTATTTTAACCATGATTAGCCAATGTAACCTTCAAACCATTTCAGGCTCTCTTGATTCTGTAGCTACAGTTAATAAAGCTCAAATATGAATTTATACATATATGTGTATATATATATATATATATATTTTTTTTTTTTTTTTTTTTTTGGACTCTTCCCTTGTCAGCTACTCCATATCCAACCCTCTGCCAACATCTGTCATCACCACCTGTGGAGTTCCTAAGCTCCTGGGGTCCACTAGTCTACAGCCGTTTCCTCCGTCTCATGCCGATGTCTTTAGTTGACATTGCTTCTCCCTTATTTCTCAATTAAGGCCATTACTACTTGAGTCAAATCCTACCTTCTCCTCCAATGCTCTCCAGTTCTCTACCTAAAGCTTCAAACCCGGATTTGGTTCCATAGTCACTCAGCAGACCCTCCTAATAAAGTCTACTGTGTCCTCTTACACTATACGCTCTACTAATTTCAGAGTTCTACCAATATCTTGGTAGGCTCTCATTCTCCTAA